GGGCTGGTGAACAGGATGGGAGGTTAAGCAGAAGATGGCATCCTGGAACAAAGCACTACAATTCCCATGCACACATACCAGTGCCCTGCTGCTGCACACAACACAAAACGCCACCACATCAAAGTTCCCTTCCTCCCTAGTGGCGTACCAACCCAAAACAGTCTTAAAACACACACACACAACATAAATAAATAAAAACCCTTGCTCTAGACAATTAAACCTGGAAGAACCAGTTAAACGGGGAATTACAATTCATCAATCCCCACATTCACAATACAGCAAAAGAGGCAAAGCAGCAGCAACTGTAGGGCAGGCAATCCAGACCGCAGCTGTAATAGAGCAGGCAGAACAGCAGCACTTAATGGCGTTTCATGATCTTTCCAACCAACCAGATAAATATCATCTCCATCCACGTTGCCTGCAAAGGATGACGGCAGGCAAAACAAATTGATTGAACACATGATCACTGACAGATCTAACTTACGGGCGAATTTACAAAATAAGCCCATTATCCAGTCGCCAGCACCACCGTTTACCCGCAAGCAACGCACGCCCAGGCACAAACATTTGAATACGGGCCTAGGTGCTCTGCGTATTCTCCACAGTTTCCCCCCGGGCTTTGACCCACAAGTAACAGAAAAAGCCGATACACAGAAGAAGCATGGAGCATAGCAGAGGTTCCCTTTTTGGCACACTCTAGCACCATATGGCGGTATTGTCTGTCTTCGGATAATACCATAGCAACGAGGATTAGTGTGCTTCTCAGTAAAATACAAAAGTACAACATACAGCATGTGCAAAATGTACAGCGCTGTAAAGCTGTCCAATTCACCGCTCACCTAAAGGGTACTTTTCTACCACACTAGGTACCATACTTCTGGTACTTCAAGAAGGTACCAAAAGTACAGTACTTCAAGGTGTTGATTTTCCACTGCCGTAAAAACTGGGTATTGGAGCTAAATGACATCACAACAAGAGGCGGGGTTATTTTGTAGTGTATTTGAAAAATGGCTGTAGTAGGACTGGACAACGTGCCATATTAACACCAACATCTCATGTTATTCACATCCAATTCTAATATTGCCAGTCAGCTAGAAGTCTCGCATTTTCATCCTTGCTGTTTGAATCACTCTGTCTTGTTGCATGGGGCACGGAGCGGGGAAACACGAGCAGGAATCCAGGAAGTCAAGGAACATGGGGTTTATTCAGGATCTCACACAGGGAAACACGCAATGACATTAAATGACATTAATGACCGGACTCGGGAAACATACTGAAACGCGGACTTAAATACATCAGACTAATTAACAACAACAAGAAACAGCTGGTAACATGGGGGTTCCACACGAGGTAGATGAGGGGGCGTGGCACATGGGACGATCGGATGAGCAGGGCATGACACACTTCTAGACGTGTTTTTGAGCAATTTATGTTGAACTCCTTGTTTCATGGATACCCCAATATTAATTACATCAAAATCACATTGCAATATTTGAAAAATTTCTAATACTGTGCTATTATAGTATACTGTACAAAATACTTTATTTATTGTTATGCTATCCTGATCTTGTTGTATCTTGTACTTTAAGAATGTGCAGATCAGCTGACATCCTCAGTGATATGTTTAACATCTCCCTGAGTCAAGCAGTTGTACCTTCTTGCCTGAAAACCACCACAATCATTCTAGTTCCCAAGAAATCACCTGTGTCCTGCATGTCTGAATGACTACTGTCCTATGGCATTCACATCAGGCGTTATCAAGTGCTTCGAAAGACTAGTCATGGGCCACACCAAAGCTGCCCTTCCCAGTTCCTTGTTCTCCAGTTCGCCTACCACCCAAACCATTCCATTGACGATACCATTTCCACCACACTTCACCTGTCACTGACCCACCTGGATAGTAGAGACTTCTTGAAGTTCACCATTTAATACAATAATTCCTCCGAAAATGTCCATAAATTGAGAGCGCTGGGTCTGAACATCCCCTTTGTAAACTGGATCATTGACTTTCTGACAGAAAGGCCTCAGTCAGTCCGCATTGGCACCTACATCTCCAGCACCATCACACTAAGCTTAGAAGTGCCTCAGGGCTGCATTCTCAGCCCTCTGCTCTTTACACTACTCACCCATGATTGCACAGTGAAGTTCAGCTGAAACAATATCATCAAATTAATAGACGGCACAATTGGGCCACATGGACAATAATGATATCTCATCATGCATGGAGGAAACGGCAAGACTTGTCAACTATTGAAAGCCTGCTGTCCAGCTGCATCACTGTCTGGTACAGGAACTGCAAGATTTCAGGCTGCAACACACTGCAGTGTATAGTGACGGAAGCTGAGAAAATCATTGGGTTGCCCCTACATTTACCACAACCGCTGCCTTCATAGAGCTAGCAACATTGAGAAAGACCAATTCCACCCACTATGTGGACTTTTTTCTCTCTTGCCGTCTGGTCAAAGGTGTCGAAGCATTCATGCTGATTCCACCAGCATAACAGCTTCATACCGCAAGCCATCAGAATTCTTAATGCAGATTTATGAATCTCTGCCTAGCCAAGTGTCATTCTAGTAAACTACCCGACTGTTTACCTCACAATAACTCCATTATTATACTCTTAATGCCTCTGACTTTACTTATACTGTAACTCTCAACCAATGCTGCTATAACCTCCCTATGTGGTATAATTTGATAGCCAGCATGCCGCTAAGTGTCACGCTATCCCGGTCATATTTATATCTATGTATATGGCCTTATATTGCATATTGTTGCAATGTTTACTGTTGCTTTTGTCTGTGTGCACATATTTTTCTTTTATGTTAATGTATGTTACACCCCAGTCCGTGGAGAAATGTCAGCTCATCACATTATGTACATGTACTGTACCACAGCTGCAATGAAGTACTGACTTGTACTGGAACTTGGGTGTGGTGTCACTCCCAGCTCCGACTCCCGAGGTAAATGGAACACAGCATATCTAGAAGCATGGTTGCCAGATTGTCTCGATGATTTCCTGCCCGAAAGGGATTCCCGGCTAATAACGAGCAAAACGCACCTGATTTATATATGATATTCAGTCATCTCACATACTTCCTTGCTCAAGTATGAATGAGTATTATCAGTATCTGAGAAAGAAGAACAGTACGGCTGTGTATCAGTATACACACTTATACACACTTATAATGTAACATGACTTGTATTGCCAGGTTGTTTTGAACTTTTAAATCGATATTAACATAGTCGTAATAGCCTAAGTATTAGGTAATATACTGTTTTATGATCCGTGACCTGTTTTATTTGTTTGTACGTTGTATATCTGTATTTTAACAAAATAGATCATATATACATACGTTTTATGAGTTTACATAAACAGAAACGATCGTTTTCACATGTTACAAAAAAGAGCTTTCCTTTCATTGTTTTCAGTGGTGTGCACTCTCAAGACGGGCATGCATTCTACGGCAGGGATGCCTTTTTCAGCATGACACCTGTGCTTGTCGTCAAGCATTCAGCAAAGTTTGTCCAGCAAATGTTTGCTCCACTCGGTTATCCACTCAGCAAATTCCTTAAGATTTTTCCTTAGCTAAGGAGACCTTTTCAGGGATTCTGTGCAACACCCTGAAATAAATCCCTCAGCTAAAGAGAAATTAAACCTTAATTGTCATACTCAAGAGGAAAACTTAAGGTGTTTTGTGTAGCCGGACTGCTGGTGTTTAGACTTTTCAGATTTGGTTTTAATTTTCAGTTCATCAATGCCACATGCTCTTCAAAATTAACCCTCCACACACCCCCAGAAAGAAAGACGTTTCACCTGAGGCTCAATGAACCAGAAACCGCTCTTTTCTCCATCATGGTTGCTGCAGGTTGGATCAAAGGTGTAGGCGCTGTACACAGGAATCTTGTGGAAGGTTGAATAAAGAGAAGCATAGAAATTCCCACCATTCTCGTATTGCTGGCAGATTTTCTTGCCGTTTTGATCCATGCCCTGTGGTTCTTTGCCCTTATAAAAGAATTTACTGCACTCATCAAAATCATCAACAACTTTTGCCCAAATGGGCACTTCTGCCAAGAGATTGAAGATGAACAGAGTCAAAATGATCATGATGTAAGTTCTGAAGGCAGTCAAGTTCAGTGAATTATTTCACTTTCCGTTTCAGGCTTATATATAATCAAAGACAAGGTCAAAGAGACAAGAGAGCGATTACCCGGTAGTATAGGAGGAGCTTGACAGCAGTAAAATCTAGGAGAGAACAGAAGATTCTGTCGTGGTGGGTTTCTCATCGTGGCACCAGTGGAATTTCAAAAATATAAGGTCATTTATATATTTTTTAAGTTTTATGTTGTTCAGTTGATTTTACTTAAAATGTACATTACAAAAGTAAAATGAAGTGCAAATTTAATCCGCATTGGAATTTAAAACCTAAGTGTAATAAATTATACAAAGAATATATTATTTTTTTCACATCCATGTGCTTGAGCTAGCATGGTCTCCCAGCTGCGGCAACCTCCTTGTGCTGTGCTACCTCTGCTGGTTGTGCTTGCAGCTGGGGTCACACCACAGCCCTCGGGGTCCACTGTGGTGCCCGCCTTCCTCATTCACCAATGTCACCTCCACCAAAGGTCCGGATGGGCTGGTTGGAAGCGGCTTCAGGGCTCGCTGCACGGGTCAAGGGCTTCTCAGTATGACAGGGTGGCGCCTTCCTGACTCAGTCCTCCCCTGCTTGTCTGCTGCTGGCTCTGGCACTGGCTTCCAGGATGGCCTGGTGTCCCATCTTCCACAGCACCAGCATCCAGCGGTTGTACACCACCGTCTCCCCGGAAACGCTGCCACTCGCGGTTCACTGCTTCACCACTGCCTGCAGGTCTGCCAGGCTGGAGCAGACTTTCCAGATGATGTTCAAGCGCCCGCTCCAGCAGCGCCAGTGGGGCCACTTCTGGCATCCCACTTCTGACGCCAGTGTGGAAAAATGGCTTTTAAAAAGGGGCAGAATTCCTTAAAGGGGGGAGAATTTAAAGGTGTGTAGCCCTTATCATGCACATAAAATGTTTAGCCAATACATTTTAAAGAAGATAACACATAAACTTAAACATGTTATTTTAAATTGCTACATTTGGCCAGTTCTACTTTACACTATCAAGCACCTAAATAGGCACATATGTATTAAGGAAGAAAACACTTTAACTTATTGTCATACCGGGCTAGAGAAGAACAACCCATATACATGCTGATGAAGAATACCTTTTATTTATTTATTTGTAGACACAGGCAAATACAGAAGTGACAACAGGTAACAATGGCTGGACTGGGGAGCACCGGCCTGGAGAACAGAATTAGTAGTTAGTAATGACAGAATTATAAAGAGGTAGAAGGGAAGGCCCTATTGGTCGGAATTCCCGGGGGGCGTGGCTGAGATGGCGATGGGGATTCTCCAGCGCGATCCATGACACAGGGCAGCTGTGGCTGGTTAACAGGAGGGCAGAACAATAGGCAGGACTAACCAGTACGAGACGTGGCCCTAAACCAGCCACACTTCCACAGGAAGCTCAGGGTAGAACAGGAGAATCAGGCAGGGCATGACACATCTGCGCAACTTTAAATTACCATTAAATATTTAGCCAATAGCTTTTAAAGAAATGAACCCATCCACTGGCCCTATTTAGGGTTGCAGGGGGTCTGGAGCCTATGGGCACAAGAGTGGGAACAACCCAGGATGGGGCACCAACCCGTTGCGAGGCACACTCACATACCGTTCACTCACATACTGTTCATACACACATGCACAATTTAGTAACTTCAGTTCATCTTAGCATATTTTTGGACTGTGAAGGAAAACCAGAGTACCTGAAGAAGACAGCCTACAATGATGCAGGGAGATGCAGGGAGAACGATGATGCAAACACATACACAGAGCCATGGTGGAGACTCAAGTCCTGGTCCTAGAAGGGTGAGGTAAGAGTGCTAACCACATCACCACCATGCTATCTCACCTTAATGCACTCCTCCCTGCGGCATCCAGGGATATGCAGAGTGTTTGCAGCATGCAGACTGCCGTCTTGCCTTTTCTCCTGCTAAAAAATATGAAAGTAAAATCACTTCAATCGATTCAATAACAATGATAAAGTATGCAAATATGTGCTCTGCTCTCATTATAAAGCCTCTTCGGGAGATCTGGATCCATGCAAGAAATGCACAAAGATTGTGGCAGATCAGCGTTATGCGTTGTTTACTTGGATTCTGCTTAGGCGTAGGAAATGCGGCGAGATGAATGCTGCGCTGCATACCCAGCCTCGGCTGCACCTTTGCTGAACTTGCGGGGGCCGCCTGCCCGGGGAAAACGGGAGTGTGGTGTTATCCGACAGTCCATTTAACATCTGGGTACAGGACATTTATCTCGAATGTTTAACAGGCTGCATCTCAAAAGGCTTCTAATCTCAAAACATTCCTTGGAAGGAAAAAAATAACAGCAGTCAGCATTCGCGCGATATTACCACGGGAATTTTAGACATAAATGCAGCATTCGCTGGCCCCCTCAAAAAGCCTCAAACTGTCTAAATTTCATCATATGGCTTTCCGTGTCCTTCCTATGTGTGTTAAACAATCCTCTATTTATAAACGGACAGAATATTAGTTCAGGTCAGTTTTTTTTTTTTTAAGTTTGGGACTCTCATCAATCACTGGGATTTTTTCTTTGCTTCTGAAGCTGTGTAATATTGTTTTCCTGGCAATAGCAAGTACAGTTAGCGTGAAATACTGCTGTACAATGGAAATGTTCAGAAGTGGGGGGCTGCACAGTCAGCACACAGAAGGGGGTCCTGGAATATTGTGAGGCAACGGGTTATTTTTGTGCGATGTCATTGTGGAATCCTAATTCCGTGGTTGATAGTCTGGATCGCCCTGTGTGTTTGGATCACCCTTTGTGTGTGCGTGTGTGTGCGTGTGTGTGTGTGTGTGTGTGACCACGTTTCCTCCACTTTCTGGTCAAAGCCTTACAAAACCATCTCTACTGGATTTAGGTTGGATGGACAGGTCATGTGATGTGACATTATCACTCTCCATTGTAAATGGCTTGGCGTGTCCAAACTTTTGACTTGCACTGTACAGTATATCTGCTCTGATAATTTAATGCTGGCATTTCTTACTACCACTTAAATAGTACGTTTTCAGGTGCTGTGGGTCTCAGTGGATTTGGATGCTATACTGTACCTGTGGTCAGAAGGTTGCTGATTCAAACCCCAGGGTCTACAGAGTGATGTCACTGGTGGGCCCCTGTGCAAGCCCCCCCCCCAGTTGGCTGACACTGCTTTTCATTTTGTGTCACTTCGGTGTTGCATTAGCCAAATAAAGTAATTGTAATTGTAAATATGTTAAACATCGGTGGAAACTGGGACCCCCTTACCCATTCTGACTGGAAACAGTGGCTTGCCGTCCACTCATAAGAAGATTTTATATAATTTGGAAAAGACATGTTTTGATTAGCCACTGATAGGATTTCTGTTAATAACAGTGGTGGTGTTGTTTAATAAAAAAAATGATTTTGGTGTGTTTTCAGCAATAAACACTACATAATATTAGCTTTATATAAATCATATCCCTGAAGTAATTAAATGTGTCATCATCGAAGATGTGATGTGAGTGGGTGATTAATTCTGCACACAATCAATTCTAATAGTTTCTTTTGTTTTATGCTCAGAATTGCGCAGTGTGTAACTTACAACCTTATTGACTCTCCACTGCTTTCCGGTTTCCAGAGAAAAGTTGATGCTGTAATGCTTGCGATTTTTCTGCCAAGCAGAAGATATTAATCAGATATGAGCTGGATGCAAACAGTAAAAGGTGATGATTAAATGTCATTCCAATCGTTTGGGGATTTTTGTAAACGATCAGATAATATTGCATGCACCATGACATAAGAATGCTTCTTTTTGGCACCTGACCTTTAAATTTACTTCTTTAGTTGCGGCTTGAGGGAAACTCAGCATTATTTATGTGACGTGGAGGTTTCTGGGTGCGGCTCGTCAGCCTGGCATCAGGGCAGGACGTGTCTCAGAGCTCTGCTTACCAAGCAGTCTCAGTGGCAGAGCGGGAGGCGCAGAGGTGCGGTGACAATGACGAATTTGACATTTTTAAAGGATCCTCAGATCGCAGCCACAGACTGCTGACAAACAAGACAAAGATGCAGAAAATATCAGACTCATAACAAAGGGGAAAATGTGTCAGGGCCCAGAGGAGTTGTGTAACTGGCTGGAAAGGGATGAAAGACAGGCAGTTTAAAAACTCTACACAATCACTTGCGTCCAGCAAAAAAAAGAAGGAAAATTTCAGATTCCTTTGACCAGATCAATGGCAGTACTTGCCCGTTAAGCCAGCCATATGTCAAGTGCCTGTCAAATTCCAAACGTATAATTAGCATTAGCCTGAGGCAGTAAAGTCGACTTGCTGAGGACAGTTGTAAACATTTTGGCATCTCTTGTTTTTTACCTCCTGGCAAAAAAATTGCACAATTGTCCTGACATTAGGGTATCAAAGAAAGGTTTTTACCATAAAATGTTAAGCATGTCAAAACGATTTCCTGCTTGAGACTTCGAGGTGAAATCTTGTTGTTCTTTGACTTTGCAGGCCTGTTCTCTGGCTCCGCACTATCTCTGTGTTTGTTGACTCCGCAAAATTGGCCAAATGATGTAAATCCCTCCCGCTACCGTCACCCAGTGGGCTGGTGCTAATCTTCCTAATGTTCTGCCTCACCTCCTAAATCCCCCCTCCCCCTTCCTGAATGCCAAAAGGATGAGCGATCGCTCCCACGTATTGCCCCAGCCAAAATAAGGCTCGGTGACCTCTTCCACCTTCCCTGAAACAGCTGAGAACGCAAAGCTTAATCGGCAAGGAATTCCGCATTAAAACGGCAAACAGCTAACTGACCCGACGGCGATCTGCTCGCAAACCTCTTAAGTGCTTTTGTTTCTCTCAGGAATGGTTTGGATCCATTCCATTGCTTACGATTTATTTGGTTCCCCGAAAGGCTATCAGCATCTTCTGCATCCTATCGCTGCCCATATCCTGAGCCCACAGACGGCCTGAAATGTGGTCTGGAGCCTGGCTAAGATCATCAGGGGGGGTTTATTGTATTAGGTTATCGAGTAAAACAGAGACAGCGCGACATCAGAGCCCAGCATCATGTCAGATGGAGACGACCCCTCATATACACACACGTGACAGTGAAGAGACCGATGCAATGTAGCATTTCCACCAAAATGAAGCTAAACCAACCCAATCCAGGTTATGGAATGAGTGCTTTGGGCCAAACCATTTGCGTGATGCTATGCATCTCATTCTGGATTGGCTTGCAAGAGGCCCTGCCACACTCACTCACCTTGTCAGATTTCATTAACTGTGTGACTAAAGCAGAAGCATCCATGAAACTTACATATTTTAATGTGGCTGTATACTTCAAATGATATCAACAAAATCGACGTTGTTTTAGCTATACGATGTCATATGAGTGGTGATCACCATTTCCGCGCCGCCTGTGCAGGATCCCTGAGGCGAACTTTCTCATTTGTTATGATCCAACCAGCTGTCCAGGATTGGCTGACAAAATGTGATGCCGTGGGGTTGGTCAGCAGGACTAATTACAGTTACTGGCATTAAAATTTAAATTGTTGGGTAATGCTAATCCTGTCTGTATCGCCGCTAGTATAAAACCAATAGTGATTGTTAGAGCACAACTTAAATTTTAAAAGAGCTCTTTTGCTAAAACTCACACTCTCACCACAATACATCTATTTGTGTTCTTTATGTGGATCTGCCGCAACAAAAACATGCATCCTCTAGGGTTGTAGAGTGATATATGTAACAGGCTGGGCCACAGCCTGCGTAGTAGGGGTTTAGGCTGCCTAACCCTCCGGATGGAGAAGATACAGCCGGATCTGGGTCCCTGTACCCTCACCGACCACCCCCCGAGTCTGCTACATGCNCTGACACTTGCCCCGGCCACAAGCAGGCACGCACCTCCTCTGCATTTAGCAGCAAGAAGTCCTTCTCTGCATCCGATACCTCTGGCTCCAAGGCCAGAGCCATGCGGGACAGGACATCCGCGTTGGTGTTCTGACTTCCAGGCTTATACTGCACCTCAAAATCGAACTCTGCCAACTGGGCAGCCCATCTCTGCTCTACAGCCCCCAAGTTGGCGGTTTCCAAGTAACGTAGAGGGTTATGATCGGTAATCACCGTAAACTTGGAATACATCAACAGGTCCCTGAATTTTTCTGTGATGGCCCATTTAAGAGCCAGCAGTTCCAATTTAAATGCACTGTAGTTTTTATCATTTCTTTCTGAGCCCCTTAAACCCCTACTAGCAAAAGCTATCACACGTTCGACACCATCCTGGACCTGACTAAGCACCGCACCCAGCCCAAGGGAACTACCATCTGTTGCTAAAATGAAGGGGCTTTTTAGGTTTGGATATGCAAGGATAGAGGACGCCATAAGGCTCTGCCTAAGACTGTCAAACGCTTGTTGACAATCTTCACTCCAGAGGAAGGGGGTCAACTGTTCTCCCCTCTTACCTCTCCTAGCCCCTCCTGTTAGAGCATGCAATGGCCTTGCCAGCCGGGCAAAGTTTGGTACAAAGCGTCGGTAATATGACATAAACCCAACTACCTGCCTCACATCTTTTGTACAACGAGGGATTGGCCAATTAACAAGCACCCTCACTTTCTCCATGTCTACCTGTACCCCAGCGGCAGACACAACATGACCCAGGAACTTTACCTCTGGTTTCAGCAAGAAGCACTTTTTGGGCTTAAGCTTAAGACCATGCTCTTTCAGCCAGCTAAAAACAAGATCCAACCTCTCACAATGACTTTCGAAATCTGCCGAAAAAACCAAGACATCATCGAGGTATATCAGGAGAACCTCAAATGCTAAATCTCCTAGGACCACCTCCATAAGGCACTGAAAAGTCGCTGGCGCATTACAAAGGCCAAATGGCATCCGGGTCCACTGGTACAGCCCAAATGGTGTAGTCACCGCAGTCTTTTCTTGGTCCACCTCAGCCACTGCAACCTGAAAGTAGCCTGCAGTAAGATCTAATGATGAGAACAGCTTTGCCTGACCCAAGGCGTCCAACGACTCCTCTATTCTGGGGAGCGGGTAGGCATCCTTGTAGGTCACCTTATTTAACTTCCGGTAGTCGCAACAGAACCTCACAGACCTGTCCTTCTTGACTACAATCACAGCGGGAGAAGCCCAGGGGCTACAGCTCTCTGTCAGGATCCCCTGTGCCACCAAATCCTGAACATGTCTCTTGAATTCCTGAAAAACATGCGGAGGAATTCTCCGATGCTTCTGTTTAATAGGGTGTGCCTCCCCTGTCTTGATATGATGGGTCACTGTTGTCGTAAACCCATAATCACTATCATGTTGGGAAAATACAGCTTGGTGCTTCACCAACAACTCAGACAGCCTTTGTATTTGTAGTGGAGTAAGCCCTTGGAGGTTAGCCTCCACTGGAACTGGTAATTGCCCCTGAGGCTCCTTCACTGGGATCGCATCTGCTGTTATCTCACTCACATACAGCCCGCCATCAACCTCTTCCACAGACACGACTTCTCTTGGTACAACTTTCTCTGGTCTACTCAGCTGCGCCAACCGCACTCTCGCAGGCAGCTTGATAGGCCTTGTATCGGAATTAAGCACCCGAACTGGGACTGTGCCATTTACAGCGTGAGCTAAGGTGTTTGCAATAAGCAGGCCACGAGGCAAACTTACACCGGCTGTGGCTTCCACCAGCACTTGACACTTTGATTTGGGAGGCACCCCACAACGGCCCTCAATCACTTTCTCACTAAGTGGGGGAATAAAAATGGGTCGCCTACCAGCCACCTTTACATAGCCAAGTCTCCCCCCTGGGCCTGCACAGCGCTCTTCCCTCTCAATTTCAGCCAAAACCCGACCCAGATTAGCTACTCCAGGGTGACAACTACCGCGATTAATTTTCTTTGTACCCATAAAGTCAGGGAAAAAATCTTTAAGCTCCCCCAAAACATTCATCCCCAAGATACCAGGGACCTTACATGTAGACCTTAAACTGGCCTGCTCATCCCTCAATACAAAAACACATTTCTTTGACAACACCTTCCCCATACACACAATGTCTGTCTCCAAGCACCCAATAACCGGAATGTCAAGCCCATTCGCAGCAGTGAGTCGAACCCACTTGGCGGGAGACAGAGAAGATCCAGCTTCCCCGAAGTGCTCTCGGAAGAAGGCCTCAGAGATCGTTGTGACTTCTGACCCAGTGTCCAGAAGGCAGTCAACGGCCACACCCCCTATGTACACCTCTACGGAGAGGCACTCGCCGATTGCACTACCCATCGGAGGCCTAAGCCCCTCTTCCCCTGCTACAACTGTCCTGACTCCCGCAGCACCACTGACAGGTCCCTGCACATCGCTACTGGCCCGACCTGCCTCGACTGGACTCTGGGTCGGCCTCTGATTCCCGCTTCTGGACTGCTGGCAGACCCGACTGATATGCCCAGGTTGGCCACAGGTGTAGCAGAGTCGCACACCCTGCTCGTCTTGAAGGGCTGATCGCCTCTGAACTGAGCGGGATACCCCTGGCCGGTTTACTTCATGCACCAACCGGAAGAGTGCTTCCTGCCGATCTGACAACTGCTTGATGGCATTATGAAGAGCTTCTAATGTCAGTGGTGTAACGTCATTTTCAGCAGCAGCAGCGTGAACAGCCCCCCTCACTGGATGCCTAGCCAGGCCTGCTGGTGCCTCTTCTTCTTCTGACCAGGCAATAGCAGCCTGCATAAGCTCAAGGAAAGACTGTGCGGGTTGCTCTCTTATCTGCCTCTTCATTTCTCTTCGCAAAGTATCATCTCGTAAGCCAAGCACTAACTGCTCTTTTAACAGGACTCCAACATTTGGGACACGCTCTGGGTCTCGCTGATGCACCTGATAAAGCTTCTCTTGGAGGTCATACGCATATGTCCGTACCTTCTCCCCTGGCAACTGTTTCCTATCATAGAATTCCCTAAGCCTGGTTCCAATAGGGACCCTATCACCATATGTTTGTTCAAGCACTTTAAATATCTCAGCCACCTCTGTCCTAGCACTACCCAGCATGAGCTTAACCGTTAGTTTGGCTTCCCCCTTCAGGTGCTGCTTCAGTAGTTCCATCTGATCCTCTTCAGGTATCCTGGAAACCTTGAAGTATGACTTCATGGCCTCCACCCACTCCTCCACACCTAGCTCACCTGGGGTAGAGCAGCCACTAAAATCAGGGCATTTCCTTTCTCGGGGGATGTACATTGCGACCGGGGCCCTCTGGGTGTCTGTTTGTTGCTCAATAACAACTCTAGCCAAAGACAACGCCTCTCTCTGATCATTCCTAGCCTGTTCTAGTAAAGCAGCCTGCTCTCCTAACCTAGCAGATTGTTCCTCAAACTTATCCTGCAGGGCTTCAAACTCTCTGCGCAGCTCCTCCATGCCTGAGACTAGTATTGCAAGGAAGCTAGAACACTAAGCACAACCTCTACAGACCCACAGGAGTAGATCCTGTTCGTGACGCCAAAAATGTAACAGGCTGGGCCACAGCCTGCGTAGTAGGGGTTTAGGCTGCCTAACCCTCCGGATGGAGAAGATACAGCCGGATCTGGGTCCCTGTACCCTCACCGACCACCCCCCGAGTCTGCTACATGCACTACCTGAGCAGATCGGCTAAGGCTCCAGGATTTTCCTATCAGTGTCACAGTGCAAACCTGGAGTGTGGTACTGTTGGGGATGGCGTGATGTTTAAGCACCCGCCCTGTACCCCCCTCCACCGAAGTACTCAGCAGTAGCAGGTGAGGCGCCCCTACTCCGGAGAGAGCCTAACTGATAGATGCAGGATAGCCACTGTACACCAGGATAAGGTAAATCGAACACACAGACAATTTATTCCCTGTGGGATATTTATCAAGTTATTAAATGTAAAGAACTAAAACTCACATACAAAAGAGGACTGCAATTACCAAACTGAGTTTCACCAACAACCTGACTCCCCTCTATTAATGAAACCCCAGTCCCTGTCACCCTACTGAGCGCTCAGTGCCTAACGGTAGAGGCCTCAATTAAGAACCCCCATCTACCTCCCTCCTCCTTACTCTGACGGGTTACTTTTCACCCTTCATACAACACAACACATTCGTGGTAATTTTACAACAGGACACATTCATATAACACATTCACAATAACAACCTCATAACAGAAATTAACCATATTCATTTAGCGCTTTATAACACTGTCACTTTATAATAATCAGTCCAATAACATCAACACTCCCCTGCGAAAGTCTGCTCAGTATGTCTACTTCCACAATGTCCGCCAGAGAAATCGGGCATCCGGGCGTACAGTTAGAACATGGCGGGTCTGCCAGGTTGTAGCGTACGCAGCAAATGGGGTGTGCAGCAGCGATCTCTTAAAACTCCGCTTACTGTCTGTCCGGTTAGCGGATGTCTTCTACTTGTTGGCCAAGTTGCTGATCACTCTGACTTGCATTCGCCAAAATAAATTTTATTAAATATCACCTGCGCCGTCCTTGGTGCGTGAAGTTGAAGAGTCGTCTCCATATAGCAGGGAGATTACTGCGATCCCTCCAACCTCCGATTCCCTCTGTGCGGCACCGGGAGTAGCTCTCCGACGATGCCCGTCTGTGTTCTGGTCGCTGACAGCAATTTTCCTCTCCGGAGCACCAACGTGGCTCGAACCTGCCTTCGAACTAACTCGGTCCTGTGCACCGGTTAAGTACACTAAGAGATACTCCTTACTCACTCTACACCACCCGTTCCCCCTCGAACACCCCAAAAAAAAACTACTTCCTCTCTCTCTTCTTCCCGCCTGCCGCGCTGCCCCGCTATACGCAGCAGCATTACGTCGTGACGCACCGTCACATATAGAACAAACAAAGTGGCGGCATCATTTACAGATTGTTCTAGCCTATGTGTTCAATTTAGTTTTGTCTGGACATAAGTATATGGCACCAGCTAAAAACTGATTGGTCCCTGGAGTGCCCCCTCACCGTCAATCACCAATTTAAAACATATCATTGGCTAATGGCAAAGTTGGCCCCACTGTATGCGATATGGCCCCACTTGTGCCACCCACCTTAAAAAAACCTAGAATCACCCCTGCCATCCGCTAACCTTTTACGGCACCAATATACTCTTAACAAAAATGAGAAAGGCCAGATATGTTTGGTTTTCCATAAATCAGGGATTCCCTCTCCTCCAAGCTCCCAGAGCATGTCTGGTGTATCAGCTAATAAGTCTTTCATAGTGATCAATCATTACTCGCCTACTTTGTGGATGGCCGAGGCTTAAATCTTAACAGTCAGGCAAAAATTAATCTTTTTAATTTTATGGATGCCATCCATAACTCCTTTTAGTAACTAATGTGGATGGGAGATTTTGCAGTTTCCAGGAGTCGGCACAAGAACCTCAGAAGCCCTCCTGAGAAAAATCAAATGTAGATTCATCGTTATGACTTATGAAATTCTGTGGATTCCTCTTTATAATGTATCAAGATCTTTAGATTCTTCTTCATAATGCATGAAGATCCTGCTTCATGTGCAGATTCATCTGAATGAAGTAAATGTTTCTGTCTGGGGTTCAGGGCAGTGTCTGTACCCTGTCTGTCTGCCCTCGCAGCTGCATAATCTGCTGGGACATCCTCAAATTGCAAACACATGCATTACACTGGAGAACACAAAACGTTCCTGTGTCCAGTGAAGTATGTGTGTTCTGCAGGGGCCCCACGTAGCAGGAAGGTACGCTGAAATCAACACAAGTGTGAGAGAGTACTCAGAAGAAATGCCTTGTTTATAGCAGCAAGGGGCAGGGCAATTGGAGAGCTCGTCGTGCTTCCTCAATGACTCGATGTGGTTTGAATCCATAAGCCATGGGTGGATATATGCCTTCACTCATAGCTAAACCACTTTTAGTTGTCAAGGTCATGGGACTTAATATATACAAAAATAACATACAGTGCCAGTCGAAAAATCTGTTTGTATCATTTTCTACATTTCACAATAATTATAAAGACATCAAAACTGTAAAATTGCAACTTACCAATAAAACTGTCTAACTTTCACAGCAGGCATTAACATATTGGTTATTAATGTACAAACACAACTACTCACCACACAGCTTTTTCCTGTGAAACAACAGACATATTCTGCATTGAAGAAGATCATTGGGCCTCATTCACCAACCGTTCTTAACAACAAATTTGTTCTTAAACCCCACGTACACACTTTTTTACAAAGATTCTGACATTCACCAATGTTTCCTTATCTGAATTTGTTCTTAGCTAAGAACTGAATCTACGCACACTCAAGACCATTCGTACACACATTTGAACAATGGTAGTTTGTTCCAAATAATTGGTTATAGCAGTTTTGTTCATTCTACATTTCATAAAATGATAGTATTTTAATAATTTATAAAAGTAAAATATAAAAAATAATTTTAAAGTGTAAAAATTATTTTCATGGTAGTAACGTCGATCATGCGGATTATAAATAGGTCATAATCTTCGTAAAAAAAGTGTGTACGTGGGCTTTAAGAACAAATTGTCACACCCCGATTGTACCGCTCCTCCTGTGCCACGCCCCCCTCGTTCACCTCGTGTAGATTCCCAGTGTTTTACAGCTGTTTTCAATTGTCTGTCCTAGTTCGCTGTATTTAAGTCTACGTCAGAGTTTGTCAGTTTGTTTCCCTAATTCAGTCAAGGTATTGTTGCATAGTGTCGTGGAGCGTTTATTCGTGTTTTTCCCTGTTATGCCCTTGCGGTCCCCGATTAAATCCTTTTATTTAACCCCGTTCCTGCTTCCATTCGCCTGTTTCCCTGGTCCGCGTTCTGCGCATTATGACACAAATTTGTTCGTAAGAACGGTTGGTGAATGAGGCCCATTGTTCCTAAGCAATTTATTTAACGTTCTTACAGTTTACCAAATACTTGACGAATGGCTTTGTTTTATCACATATTTAGTGTTTTGTTCTTAATTTGTCAATATCTATACAAAAAAAGAATATCAAAAACTGTGTGATGTCATTTCAGATGGCCTTTTGTTAATCAAAGGTAATTCTAGTGGAGTAATAGAATTTAGTAACGATAAAATTGTGTTATCTAATCTGGGGATTAATGTTTCGGATAAAAAATGTTCTAACAATTTTATAAGACAATTATTGGTCTGTAATACTTGTCCTGCGGTAAAATATAGATTAACCTTTCACCTAAATAGGAACTGGCATTCAATCTGGGCTTTGTCATATAAATATGTGTTTAACAACAAAGTTAAGATAATAGTGTATAAGAGAACACACAGATGCTATCCAGTTAATGGTACTCGCTTTAAGTTGCTTGATGTTAGTGATGCCTTTGTATTTTGTAAACATTGTACTCAGTCTATTAAACATTTATTTTTAAAATATACTTTTTAAATTCTTTTTCGCTAGATCTTTTCTTTTATTATTTAAAGAGAAGGATTGGAAAAGAAATCCCTATTCAATTGTGTTATATTTTACAAATTTTTGATAATCCGGCAGGAGATTAATGTTTTCTAATTAATGTCTTGATAATATTAGGTAAATTTATTATTCATAAAAGAAAATATTTCAGAATGATACCTTCATTTATGCCTTTCATACATTCTGATTTTTGTTCTTGCTCTTCTGCATTGGCAAATATAAAGCTTCAGCACAACAAAAAACTTAGTAAAACTGTAACTTTGTTAAGGTTTTCAAGTTTATTTAAATTATTTGTCCTTTTTCTGGTGGAGTAATAGAATTTAGCAATGATGAAATTGTATTATCTATTTAGGGGATTAATGTTCTGAATAAATAATGTACTAACACTTTCATAAAACAATCGTTGGTCCATAATACTTGTCCTCTGGTAATATACAGATGGACTTTTCACCTACCTGTAAATAGGAACTGGCGTTCAATCTGGGCTTTGTCGTGTAAATATGCGCTTAACAACATAGTTAAGATAATAGTCTATAAGATAACACACAGATGCTATCCAGTTCATGTTAATCTCTCTATGTTCCTTGATGTTAGTGATGCCTTTGTATTTTGTAAACATTATACTGAGTCTATTGAGCATTTATTTTTTGTATGTACTTTTGTTTATTCTTTTTCGCTAGATCTTTTTTTGAATTTAAAGAGAAGAATTGGAAAAGAAATCCCTATTCAGTTGTGTTATGTTTTACTATTTTTTGATGATCTGACATTCAATGAATGTCTTGATAATATTAGGTAACTGTTATATTCATAAAAGAAAATATTCCAGAATGATACCTTCATTTATGTCTTTCATACATTCTGATTTTTGTTCTTGCTCTTCTGCATTGGCAAATATAAAGCTTCAGCACAACAAAAAACTTAGTAAAACTGTAACTTTGTTAAGGTTTTCAAGTTATTTAAATTAATTGTCCTTTTTTCATTCTTTTGTCAATTTTGTTTATGCTACTTCTTTGAACACTCATGCTACTTTTATTTGTATCTAGCTATATGATTGTGATATGTCATGCATATACAGTATGTCAAGTACATGAATGAATAAAAAAAACTTTGACTAGGTGCACCTAGTCAAAAAAAGTGGTCGCAAGATGCGTCTGGAGCCCTGTTTTGCTGCTAAACTTAGTCCACACTAGCCAATGAAAATTAAGACTAAAACTGGAACTAGGAGTGAAAAAATAATTTTGTTAACTGAAATAAAAATAAATATGACAATTTTATGAAAAATGAAAACTAAATAAAAACTACAATGAGCAATGCAACACGAACTAAAATGAAATGGAAATGCAAGTATAATCAGCTTTTTTTACTCCCACCCCCCTTGATTCGCACTGTGCTTTTGGGTTGCAATTCACATTGCAGCATTCCACAGGAAGCAAAGACCGCCGTCCGCCATGTTGGTGCATTTCTTGTCTAGTTCAGGTTCTCAAATATACTGTTTTTCTGTGTTTGTCAAGGTTGTGTGGGCTGTTTTCAGCTGGGCTAGGATTCCAAATTGTGAATAACTGTGATCTGGAGATGATAGATTAAGTTTTATCTAGTAAGCGCCACTGCACATTTTCTCCATTCTCTCTGTCTCACAGACGCACATGTATGTGCTGTGCAGTGGTTATATAAATGTAAATGCACTCCTCTAGGCTAATCTTTTGTTAAAATATGAGACTATTGCTAAATTGAACCGAGTTACCAAGCTTTAGTTTGGTTTACCATTGGATTTATGTTTAATAATTATACTTATTTTTATTTCTTCTTATTCCTAAAGCTGTTGTCACGGTTAAAACAGGGCTGGTGGCATTGCAAATTGGAGGGGCACCAATCTGATATTCAGATCAATATTGACACCGATCCATATCTATTAGACGGATTGGGTATGTATGTGACCTATCCACGTCCAATACTTACTTATTTAGTTTTCGACAATCTGTAAGATAGCTCCTTCTTGTTACATGGATTTATACAATCAATCGCACAACTTTCCCATTTTAGATGTGTTTTTTGTGGCATTCAAGCTGAACGCTAACTGTACGTTCACAACGTGGGCAGCAAGAGCGTCAAAGCAACCGTAAGTCATTCATTCTCTATGGGAGAGTGCACCACCAGGCTGCAAAGAGCAGCGCGGCATGGTGCGTTGCGATTTGGGTGTTGGGAGCATCAAAATTAAGCCCGGTCAACTTTATGGTAATGAGCTATGACAAGGTTCGGCAGCAACCAGTTGGAATGCAGAGATGCTCCACTAAAGAGAGTTCCCAAGCACAATGATGAAGAAATTGCATGGAACGTCGTCGGGGTATAAACTGTGAGACAGAATGCATCTGTAGACACGGTAAAAATTTGCCCTCATAAAAA